AGAACGTGATAGAACATGGTGGGAACCAGCAGGAACATCTGGAATCAGATAGAAGCTGCTTTTTCAAGTAGTTTTATTTTATTTCTGGACAGTACATTAGGTTCATAGTATCTTTAGAATTAATCACCAACACCTCCAACATAATGTCTGACTGGGTTTTGTTTCTTGTTTATGTCATTTCCAGCCACAAGAAACCTGCTGGCCACATAAAATTTCACTATAAAGCAGCATTTTACTTGAATATGAATAATTTGCGGCTTAACTATGGACGCACGACTGTTTTCTCCACAACTAATTTCAGATTTCATTGAAGGCCAACAGTCTAGTCCGAGACGATAAAGGTATTCACACTGTGGTTTATGTTCCAGCTGTCTCTCACATATTTATTGGTTTTGACTTTGATTTTCTAATTAAAAACAGTCGGTGGATTCAGAGTCTCTTGATAGGATTTAACAATAAACAAAGACTGAAGAACACAATGGTGGCTGCTGTCGACACTGATCTCTGAATGACAACACGTCATCTTTAACTCAACAACATGACAAATAACTGCAGGTACTCACATCGAAGAGGACGCCGACTTCCTGATCCGGTGACGGAGCGAAGGATTGGTTAACATAGATGAACTGAGAAGAAAAACGCACACAGTCATGAATAAAGACATTTATTATTAAAATCCAAACCACGATTTGAGAAGCAGAAGAACTTCGTCCCCACCAGCTGTTCATTGCCGTCCAGTTTGAGGAAGCGGGAGATGAACTGGGCGAGGGACTGCACCGTCCTGCCCCGGTCCACGGCCCACTTCTTGGTCTTCATGATGGGAGTGTCTCCCACCGCCTTCAGCAGCACGTCGACTGCACAAACAGAAAAGAAAAGTGAAAGCTGCTGCTGCTGGAACAACCCCAGACCGGTCCAGGCAGATCTGGACTTGAAACAGTTCAGAGGAATTATCTGGAGGAGTCGTTGTGAAACCCGCTGACAAGCTGCTACTTCAGCTCAGCGGAAAAACAACAACTGTAACGTGTGCTTCCACTTAAAACAACAGAGAATTAGCCGCCTTTGTAACAGAGCCGGTGCTGCACAGACGGCAGGAATGTCATGAATCCCTTTGGCTTTAGGGATTGCTGATCGATTTACTCTTTGTTTGTGGGATCTGTCGGACTTGCAGAGCAGCCTGTACAATTAGATGTTAGGACAACAGTCAGATGAAGGCGCACTTGCATGAAAACTCCATCTGTTTATTGTCATTTTAAATTTGGGATCCACTGACTGAAAAGTTGGCTTTGTTGTTCAAATCTTGCATTGAGTCTAAGTGTGCAGAGTAAACGTGATGTTTACATGTTAAAGGAAGGTGTCTGAATGAAGCCCAACATCTGACACACTCAGGTTATTAATCCTTATTTATTCTATCTATACGTTTTCAAAATGTGACTTAAAGCTATCGCTAAAAACAGGACATAAAAATTCCTCATCTGATGCTGCTCAGATCTCATAGTTCAGTTTTTTAATATTTACCCTGGAGCTGATCAGCACATGTGCAGTATTCACCTGTACCACCTCGCAGTAATCTGATTACTTCTGAGTTGAACAGTAGAGTATTTACTCTGAGGTCAGATTACAAACTACCAGTTTTGATTTTATCAGGCATCTATAAACGTCATCAACACCTTCTGCCCTCATGCAGCCCCACATCATGATGCTGCCACCTCCGTGCTTCACTGTCAGGACCATGCATCCACTGTGGTGGTCCTGGTCAGGTTCACACCAAACATCTGGACTCCATCTGAGCCCAACACATTGATCTCCATCTGACCAGAGGATGTTCTCCAGCATCCATCAGGCTTCTGTTCATGTTCTCTGGTGAACTTTGATGTGGAAGTTTAGCTGTGAGCAGCATCCAGGTTTAGTTCTGCTCCTCCGTCCATAGAGGCTGATGTTCTGAAGTGTCCTTCACACTGTGTGAGCTTCACACTAACTCTGGTCTCCATTGATCAGCCCTGTGCCAAGTCTGAAGCAGCTGCCTTTGTCTGGTGTTCACAGCTCCATAGTGACAGCAGTTGACTGTCCGTGGAGTCATTGTAGGAGGACGACCACTGCAGCCCTGATCAGTGCTGCTGTGGCTCCTTCTGGACCTCCTGGTTCCTGCTCACACTGGGCTGCACTGGGTTCTAGCTGCTCACTGATCTTCTGGATCCTTTTCCATCTTTGTCCAGTCTCTCAGTCAGATGTTCCTCTTCCTCTGTTCAGTTCTTTTCCATATCAGGTCATTTTAGATACAATTTTGAGTCATATAAACAAAATTTGAGTCACTCTCGACCATTTTTACTTGTTTTTGACAAATTCTGAGTTACTTTGGAGAAGTTCAGAGTCATTTCAGGAAAATGTTGAGTCATTTTGGACCATTTTTACTTGTTTTGAACAAATCCTGTCATTCTGGGTGAATCGTGAGTCATTTGGGGACCAGTTTCAGTTATTCTGGACACATATTGAGCCATTTAGGTATATTTGTTAACTTATTTTGACAAATTTCAAGCCATTTCGGACACATTTTCAGCAATTTGGAGCATCAGATGTTTCTGTTCAGGTCTTCTCCACGTGGAGCCATGATGCAGACTTAGACACAGTCCATAGGTCCAGAACCGAGAAGGTTCTGCTGTTCTCAGCTCATTTTAGAACCATGTTCATGCAGTTAGACTGATTGAAATCACAGGTGGACTCCGTTTAGTTGGTTGCTTTGATTTTCTACGTCGGAGCCTCATTTGTCCACATAGTCTCTCTTTTTATTATAAGCATTAGCTTTATTCTAATGTGCATCAGAGAAAACTCTACGGTTTAACTTAGAAATATTACGGTTATTGAGTGATGGCACAGTATAGACGAATTTGACATCAGTAATATTGCACAGGGGTTTATTCACTTAAATTCTGTATGTCAAAACCTAAAACGTGAAATTTCCAATAAACTGCAGTTTCACAGTTTGATGCTACATCAAGTCAAATTCCTCGTTAGCTGAGCTCGTGAGCGTAGCCGCAGTCTATTAACTTTAGAACTACATATGAAGTTTCTGTTGGTGTAACTGAAACATGTGTTAAATCAGTCAAACAGCCCACAGACTGCAGAATATTAAACTTAACACAACAAACAGATGTTTGCTGGCTTCATAGTTAGCGTTAGCTTCCCCAAACTGGTACAATCACGTGCTCAGAAACTCAATTCTCATTGGCTAAACCGACAAAAACATCCACCCTATTGGCCAGGTTTTACCGTCACTCTTTGACACCCGGAAGTTAGTTCCTTAGCATTAGCAGCAGTGCTCATAAACAGTTCACTATTATTCGCTAACGGTGTAGTAACTTCGTTTTAATCTAATTTTCCTTACTTTTCTTCTTCTCTTCGCTTGTCGCAGAGTCATCTGCGGGCGGCTGTGGCTCTTCTTTCTGCGTTTCTGTCGGAGACTCTGCGCTGTCAGACATCTTCAGTTGAACACTAGGTTACTTTAAGGTTCCCCCCACCAGAGCTGGTTAGGCGACAAACTGCGGCTCCTATTGGCTTAAAGGAACATCAATCACTACGACACGTAATCCTATTGGTCCACACTCTTAGGTAAGGCGGAGTTTATCACAGAAGGGCTCTGGAGTTGAAGTTGTTCTTAGCTGCATGCTAGGTCAGTTTTTAATTTGACATTAGAGTATATTTGCTAATAATGTGATGATTTAATAACGAATTCAGATTTAGGTTGATTGTTTGTTTCGTGTTTTGTTTGTCGTTTTATTCAGTAGGACTTCCTTTTACACTTGCAGGTAAACAAGGTGAACACAGTCGTTGTGTGATTCTGCAGGAGGCGTCACATGGGAAATAATACTTTAACCTGACGGTCAAACTTTCTACTTTCTCCTTGAACCTTTTACACAGTTCTGGAGCAGCCAACAGACAGCAGTAAGTCCTGGGTTTTTCATGTCAAGCTAACGAGGATATCAGTGGTACTGTTTGGTTTCACTGTTAAAAAAAGACAAAGGAGGAAAGAATAGCATCATAAATTAGTTTGATTGCATAAATGCAATAAATCTAATAGGTCAGAAACAGTCCATGGACTCTTGTGTCCTTCATGCTGAGCAGGACTGAGTCTGTCATAAAAAATTAAGAATCGAAGAAATCAGAGACTAGAATCTCGAAAAAGAAAGGATTTTTTGTACATCAGAGCAAATACCCTACTGTTATACTTAGAAGTAATCTGATTACTGCTGAATCATTTATGTGATCATGTACAGGTGTGGGCTCACTTCTGTTGGTGCTGCATGTCCTTCTAGTTCGTTTGGGTTTATGTGTGTTCCTCTTTGGTCTCATTATTAAAAAGGAGGAAATATTTTATACAAGGAAGAAAATCTCATTATACAAGTACAACTTAAGCTGGCAAACATCCCACTTGTGGATCCGAAACTGCACAAGTCACAAAATAAAATAAAAAAAAAAACAGCCTGTAATAAATCAGCTCAAATAAAGAAATGTGTAAAATCATAAAATATGTTTAACTGTCGAGATACACATTTTGAAATTTAAAATCAGATAAAGCTGTTTTAATGGATGGACAGTCTCTGTCTTCCTTTCATCATTATAAAACCTGTTCACGTTTTTGTAGCATCCAAATACAGTTCAGAGTCCACAGAGAGTAGCATCGCTGTATTACATACGTCACACTCACTGTTAACATGGATTCATGCTTCTGGACTCAGCTTGTTGTTTTGCGTCGTCTTTCTCTTGCAGTGGCGAAAATCGGCCGACTCGCCACCAAAGACTCGGTTCTCTTCCTGTGCGACATGCAGGAGAAGTTCCGACCCAACATCTTCCAGTTCAACAACATCGTCAGCAACGCAGCCAGACTGCTGCAGGTGGGTGCAACCTCTGTCCTGTCCTCTAGTTATGCACTAGGATCGGTCTGGTTTAAAACTCCTCCATCTCGTAGGCCAGTCGGGTTCTGGGCATCCCCCCCATCCTGACCGAGCAGTACCCTAAAGGTCTGGGACCCACCGTGCCGGAGCTGGGAGCAGAAGGTCTGACGGCTCACGCAAAGACGTCCTTCACCATGATGATCCAGGAGGTGGAGAAGCAGCTGCAGGAGCTGGGGAACCCCAAACAGGCCATCCTGTGTGGGATTGAAGCTCACGCCTGCATCGCGGTGAGAAAACAGGACGTTTGTGCAGCTGAGGCGTTAAAATGACAAAATATCTGTCTGTGCTTCATAGAACGGAGCTGCAATGACGAATCGATTAGGTATTAACAGTTAGATTCACTCCTCTGGGACAGTAAACTGAATATATTTAGAGAAAACAAGACATCTGAGGAAACACTGATCCACATTTTTGACCATTTTCTGACTTTTGACAGACCAGACAGCAACATGATGACTCCAGAACATATTCAACAGTTTAAATGTCAATGAAATAGTTGGTTAGTTGCTGCCTTGATAATGATGTGACTCTGTAGGCTGAGGAAATTCATTTCTACAGCGGTATAAAACAGAAAAGCTGATCATTATGAGGCTAAAACCAACAAATGTTTGCTGTTTTTCACTTCCAGACGATTCAAACATGATGCATCCTTTTGTTTCAGTCTGTATTTTATGACAGTGCAGCTGCAGGTTTGATTCTTTACTTGATTTTCCTGCAGAAATAAATGATGGAAGTGCTCGTGCACATCAGCGTGAATCTCATACTTTCTTGCATGAAGACTGTAACTAGAAACCAAAGGATGTGTGAGTTTATATTGTTGTGAAGCTGCAGTCCGAGTTACTGAGTGAATGTTAAAAGTCTCCTCGTCTTTCTCAGTGTACGACCTACGACCTGCTGGAGAAGGGGGTGGAGGTTCACATCGTGGCGGACGCCGTCTCATCCAGAAGGTATCTGCGTTTGCAGCCGAAGCCGTCCGGTTAAACCCTGAACTCTCCTCCCGGCCTGCGAGCTTTAATCCGATCCTTTGTGTTTCCTGTGCAGCCAGACGGACCGGCTGTTCGCTCTGTCCAGGCTGAAGCAGAGCGGAGCTTTTCTCACCACCACAGAGGCCGTCCTGCTGCAGCTGGTCCAGGACGCCAAACACCCCAACTTCAAGGAGGTGCTGCAGCCGCTCGCTCCTAAAACACCTTCACGCTCAGATCAGTGGAGGCCTTCTGCTCCACCAGCTCGGATTAGCTTTACACTTTTTCCATCACAAACTCCAAATATTTAAAACGATAGCTGTGAAATTTTAGATTCACTTTCAAGATTCAAGACCAAACACAGTAAAACGTGCAGTGAAATGTGTTCCAGACTGAAACAGTGACAAGAATGATAGCAATAAAGAATCAAAACACACAATAAATAAATATAAGAATAAATATACAGAGAGAGAGAAAAAAGCCAAATAGTTAAATAAATAAACACATTTTATATTATAATAATGTAGAACATTTTCAAATATTGTCTGAGATATATTTTTAAATTTCTCTTCAGCCCACTTTCAGCAGGTTATTAGTTCGGTATAAAAGTTCAACTAATATAACTTTCTTTTCATCTTTGTGAACCAGTCTTTCATATTAAAGTGTTCTACATGTTTAGTTTGGTATTATTGTGACCTGCAGCCACACGTGGTTCAGAAAACATCACCAGAGTTGTTTTTGTTAATGAGCTCAAACATGAGACTTTTCTTTACAGCTTCAGTTTTATTTCTCACATTTCAACTCAACTATAGACGGAGGTGATTTGATCTACTTGTCCGATATGACAGATTCTGAATCAGTGACGTGATGAGAAATAACAGAGAACATTTCAGCTTTTTATCTGTAATAGTTCCTGAAATTTCAATGTAAGTAAAAACCTGCTCAAAGTGGGTCGAGGGGCAGATGATGTGTTTGATATATGAAGCTAAAACATCACAAGTGTCTTTAACTGGTCAGAGTTTATGATAAATAGTTTAGTGTGTGTCAGAGATGGAGGTTGTTATTTAAAGAGCTCTAACTCTTTATTTAAAGTGACAGATTCTGACTTTTCTTTGTTCATAAACCTGCTGTTTGTCTGCGTGAACATGAGTGAAGGACTCACCGGCTCCTGTTTGCTGTTTGCAGATCCAGAAGCTGATGCTCCACCCGTCTCCTGACACCGGCCTGCTCACCTTCTTCAGCGCTCTGTAGACGGGTCAGCCGGGTTCTACCGGGTTCTACTGTACAGAACGTCCCTCAGTCTGCGTTGCTAATAAAAGCCAAGCTGCTGCCTCACGCTGTGTTGGTGTGTTTTCATGAACCCTGGTGTCTGGTGGTTTCTGTGTTATGAGCTGACAGGCAGAGGGGGCGGGGTCAGCACACAGGGGGGCGTGGCCTCCTAGTGACGTCACTCAGGGGGAGGAGTGGGTGACGTCATCCTGGTAGAGTCAGAAAGGGAGGGGAAGGAGAGAGGGAGAGAAAAAGGAAGCTGTCCGATAAGTTCTTAGTGTGTTTGTTCAAAGTTCCACAAAGTTTTGTGAAGGCGAGGCTGCGATCGGAGGCCGAGTGGAGGCCAGAGGCTGCAGGTGGACCTCTGAGGGGGGACGGGCCCAGGAACCGTCAGCTGATGACAACATTCACCCTGCTCAAGGCTTCAGGCCTCGACTGACCACACAGAGGTAAGCAGAGCTGCTCTTCCTCTGAGCAGCAGCTGGCAGAGCTGCTCGGAGGCTCTCCGGTGCTGCTGCTGCCCTCAGAATGGAAAGTTTCCAGAGCTGCACAGCTTCTGTCTCAACTTGCTGTTCAGAGTTGTGACGCCGCTGGAAGTTCAGGAACAGAAAAAAGGCTCCAACAGATCTGAACAGCTTCAGGTTGGTTGATCCACTTCTTCTTCCTCCTCTGGTCCTCCAGAACCTGCACACAAACCAACATGTCCTCTGAGTCCAGTCTGAGTGCCATGTGAAGGACTGTGAGATGACATATGATGTGAACTGGGCTGTATAAATAAAACTGAATTGAACTGAGTCCAGTTTAAGTCTAGTCTGAATCCAGTCTAAACCCAGTTTGAATCCAGTCTAAATCTAATCTAAATCCAGTTTGAATCCAGTCTGAAGCTGGTCTAAGTCCAGTTTGGGTTCAGTTTGAATCTAGTCTGAGTCCAGTCTGAATCCAGTTTAAATCCAGTCTAAGTCCAGTCTAAATCCAGTCTTAGTTCAGTTCTAATCCAGTCTGAGTCCAGTTTGAATCCAGTCTAAGTGCAGTCTGAATCCAGTCTAAATCTAATCTAAGTCCAGTTTGAGTCCTGTTTCAGACCAGTTTGAATCCAGTTTAAGACTGGCTTCCCTTTCTGTCAAAACACAGCAGAGCTGCATCCATTAACTGATTAATTACCAGCTATTAAATGAGTCGTTAACTGCTCTGATAATCAGTTCACTGGTTGAGTTTCTCTTTTTTAGAAGAAACGATTCTTATTCTCAGATTCGAAAAGCAACAAATATTTGCTGCTTTTTTAAAAAAAACTCATAAATAAGTTAAACATATGAAATAATGTTCTGTTCAAATAAAATAAATAATAGAACAGACTGAATAAAAAGACATTCCTGTGTTTTCCTCTCTGTGACAGCAGACTGAACATCTTGGGACTAAATTATCCAAATTTTTCCACCATTTTCTGAATCTTAGAGACACTTCATCCACAAAAATAATCTGAATCTATAAAATTCAGAGCAACGGAAATAAACTAAAACCCAACATGTGGATGTGGACTAGATGCAGCTAATGTGGTAATTACAGAAATCCGTGTGTTTTCTGCTCTGTGGTGCTTCAGAACCTTTATTATTCTTTATTATTATTGAAAGTGTATTTAAAATGGACCGTCTGAACACCGTCACTGTACCAGACTTCTGTTTTTATTTGTCTCTGTCTTTACTGTCTCCATCTCACTCTCACTTTATTGTATATAATGCTTTGTGTATATAGTACTTTGTTTAAATTATTTTTATTTCTTGCTGCTATTGTCGTGTTCTTCCACACAAGTTTCGTTGTACTCCTGCACAATGACAATAAAGTCTCTTTATCTTATCTTTATCTTTATCAATGAAAGACAAAACCTAAAAACTCATCTTTAAAAACCTGCTTATCTCACAACTGCTAACTTACATTTAATCAGTTTATTTAAAATATTTTTAAATTTATTACTTTATTAAATGAATCTGCAACTATTTTCAAGTATTTAAAAAAAACAACAAAAAAACAAAACGGTCGAAATTCTCGAAACAGACATTTGAGTAAAAACTGACTCATATTTTTCTCACATTTTAGAGACCAAACATTTGAACGATTCGTCCAGAAAATGATCCACAACAAAAGCTTCACCAAACCAAACTCCATCAGAAAAAGTTCCAGTTTAAAGCCAGACGGAGAAAGTTCTTCATTAATCCTGATTTTATTTTATTTTTTTTAGCTCTGATTGGATGAATTTCTGTCATGAAAGGCGACTCGTCGACACTGATTTAGTTAATTATTGAACAAAAAACACAACTGAGAGAAAAATACCTGCCAGTTTTCACAACATATTTAAGTCTGATCCACATTTTTCACTATTTTCTAACATTTTCGAGACCAAACAGCTGATCGATTCGTCCGTTTTAGTCATTCTGTCATAACAACAGTCTAAATTTTGGGATTAGGGCTTCTTAAAGTGAATATTTTCTGGTTTTATTTCCTCCTCTGTGCCAGTAAAGTGAATATCTTTGGACAAAACAAGACATTTAACGAGACTCTAATCGACATTTTCCTCCATTTGCCGACATTTTAGAAACCAAACAGCTGATCGACTCGTCCGTTGAGGTCATTCTTTAATAAACTCAGTCTAACTTCTGTGGTTGCAGCTTCTTAAATGTGTAGCTGTGGACAAAACAAGACATTTGTTGAAACTCTGATCGACATTTATCACCGTTTTCTGACATTTTGACAGAATAATTGATCGCTGTTATGATCGTGGGTTGAAGTCTGAGTTATAAACAACATTATTTCCCATAATAATCCTGCTGGGAGGTCCAGAGGTTACACGAGGTTATTTATAAACCAGTTTCCTGCTGCTTCGTCCTGGTTTACGGGATCCTTGTTTCTTGGATCTTTTACATTCTGTTGATTTGTTGCGTAAAAGCTCGTCGTGGTTGTTTTGATTATTTGTTCTGGGAGTGAAGCTCTGCACACGGCTCTCATACAGCACTTTATGCACAGTTTTACTTTTAGTTATGTCAGATTTACATCATCAGTGTTCATGGAGGTGAATCTAAACGTGTAACAAACAGAACTGTCGACGTTTAGATTCATCCTGAGTCAGTTTGAGAAGCTTCTCGAGAAAAACAGTCTAAATTCTGTGATTTCAGCTTCTTTAATTTGAATTTTTTTCTGGTTTCTGTCTTCCTCTGTGACAACAAACTGAAGATCTTTGGACAAAACAAGACATTCAGGAAACTCTGATCCACAGTTTTCAGAAAATAATCAAGACGTTAATTAGCTGCTCTGCAATTAAACCTTTTTAAACCAAACTCCACTTGAAAAAGTTATAATTTAATGTCAGGCAGAGAAAGATTGTGAATAACTTCTGGCTTTTAGCTCCAACTTGGTCGCCACCAGCAGATTTTAGAATCTTTCATTTATTTTATTTTTAAGGAAACGTGTAGAATAAATGGATTATGATGAAATATCTGGACTTAGATGTGATGATGTCATCTGTGATGAGTTCAAGGACCATCCGAAAGTTGAAAATCTGACAATTCTTTCTTTTGATAATTGATTAATTGGTTTGATTTGTTCTTTGAGGAAAATCAATGTAAAATCTGTGATTGCAGCTTCTTCAATTTGAATATTTCCTGTTTTTATTTCCTCCTCTGTGACTGTAAACTGAAGATCTTTAGACAGAACAAGACCTTTGAGGAAACTCTGATCCACATTTTCTGACATCTTAGAAACTAAGCAGCTGATTGGTTCATCAGTTTGAGTAATTTTAAAAATAAAAACAGTTCTAACTCTGTTCTAACTCTCTTGCAGCTTCTTGACCCAGTTCTTCCTCTGATCCTTCAGAACCTGCCCAGAAGAAGCGCCATGTCCTCGGACCTGAACTCCAGTCTGACCAGCATCGACTGGCTGCCTCAGCTGGGAATCAGCAGCCTTCGGTCGGGGAAGGAGAGGGGAGGAGGAGGAGGAGGAGGAGGAGAGAGGGAGAGGAGGAAGGACCGGGGCAGGGACCGGGGAGACTTCCTGCCCTCGGTACCGGACCCCGCCCCTGCCAACTGCAAGGGGAAACCCCCCCACAGCTACGCCACGCTCATCGCCATGGCGATAGCGGCAGCACCTGAGAGGAAGCTGAGTCTGAACGACATCTACACCTGGATCAGCGACACCTTCCCCTACTACAGTCGGGCAGGGCGCGGCTGGAAGGCGAGAAAACATACAACACACAACGTGTAGCAAACAACATGTAGCAAACATGTAGCAAGCAACAAACAACATGTAGTAAACAACATACAACATGACATGTTAATATGACACATGACAATGATAGCATGTTACATGTTACACCTATGATTGAAATATTACACATGAAAATGAAAACCTCCAGTTTTAGGACAACAGTTTAGTTGGTTTTTTCCGTTTCTGTGCCAACAGAACTCGATCCGACACAACCTGTCCCTGAACAAGTGCTTCAGGAAGGTTCCTCGGCCTCAGAGCGACCCCGGCAAGGTCAGCTGACCGTTACGTCATCACGCTGTCAGAACGCTAACTAACCTGAAGCCAAAAGTTTAAAACCTGTGGAACTGTTTCCAGGGCTCCTATTGGACGATGGACGGACCCTCGGAGGCCAATCAGGTCCGAGCACCGAAGCGTCCGTATCCAGAGGAGGACGAGGAGGAAGAGGAGAGGAAGGAGGCAGGTTTCAAACCGATGTTTTAGGGTCACACAGAGTCAGAAACGCTGATTTCAGCTTCTAAAAGTGGATATTTTCTGGTTTCTTTCCTCTGTGATGGCAAACTGGAGATCTTTGGACAAAACCAAACATTTTAGAGACCAAACAGCTGATCAATTCATCCAGAAAATAATAGATAATGGTTAGTTGTGGCGCTAGAATAAACCTTCAGGATGAATTTCTGTCACGTCGGTGGTCATCAGACGTTCAGTTGGAGGTTCTTGTAGTTGGACAAATTCTTCTAGAAACGTGATCAGCAGCTGCATTTATCAATAAGTCAGAAAGCTTGTAGCTGCAGAGACTGAATGGATCCACATTGATGATTAATGCCGGAGCTGCAGCGAGTAATCGATCAGACGGACGTGTGAGGAAACAATGAGCCACAGGTTTTATCATTTTAGAGACCAAACAGCTGATCGATCGTTGGTTTACTCCAACACGTAAAGAAACCGCGTAAAAAAGCTGAAATGAGGAGCTGACAGGAATGGTCTCGTGAAACTTGATGAAACTTGTTGATATGTCGTTTATTATTTATTTTAATAATGATTCAATTTAATTCATGAAGTCAAACAAACGAACCTCCGCTCATAATAATAATAAAAAAGTTAATTATTAAGAAAACTCTCAAAACACACACGTTTTAATGACTTTTAGTTCCTGTTAATGGTTTTATTTTAAATTTATTTTATCTTAAATTGTAAACTCATCACTCGTAATCCTATTTTGCTTCGTTTTAATGCTTTATACTAGTTTATTCTTTGACAGATTGATTGTTTTTGCTCTTATTCGTGTGATCCGTTGCTGCCTGAACACCTCTGGTTGTTTGTTAAACGTGCAGCATGAATATTTAATCCTGAAACCTGAAGCAGGACGCTGCTGAACCTCAAGAAGACGACGTCCAACATTTTTAAGTTTGTTTATTACAGCTTCAAAATGACATCATCTTTAAAAGGCTGATTAACTTCTGGTTGGCTGCAAATGAAGACCTTCAGGAAGAACCGTCTGATAAAGATGATTAATTGTTTTCAGAGACACTCAGGTGCTTTTATTTGACTTTAAAGGCTCCTTCTATCTGTGTGATGTTTTCCTGTTTGTGCCTCCAGACTCTTTCCTTCTTCATATATTCTCTGATCTGAGGTTCTCCGTCTCTGCTGCTCTTCAGGTTCCTCAGACGGAGGCTCCAGCAGACCGAGGCCCTTCCCCTCCTCAGCCTCACCCCGCCTCCGAGCCCTCCCCCCAGGCCGCCTCCCTGTCTCCTCCCCCCTGCAAGGTAGACTCACCTGTCCCCGCCCGTCCTCGGGTCTTCAATGATTCATCGCAGGTGTCCAGTAGCTCACACATTACATCAGAGGACGATGAAGAAGCTAATGTGCTGCTGATTACTATTTAAAAAAAGTCATTTTACGCATATTTTAGGACATTTTAAGTCCTTTTGTACAATTTCTGAGTCATTCAGACCCATTTCAAAGCATTTTAGATCATTTTTAACTAATTGTGAACAACATTCAAGTCATTCTGTGCAGGTTTGAGTCCTTTCGGATAATTTATGTGTAATTTTGTTCAAGTTTAAAAGCATTTTAAACTGCTTTTAGCTCATTTATGACAGGTTTTACATTACTTGGGGCAATTTTGAGTCAAATTTTAAGTCATTTTACGTCATTTTAAGTCATTTTAAGTCCTTTTGTACAATTCCTAAGTCATTTTGGA